GCTTGGATGTCAATTCTGACGGAAGCCACATTGGAAGGAAGCCACGACCAGCGCAGACGAGTAAGGAGGGGAAGTGTCGGGATATACCTTTGTTCCCAGGCGACAGAGAGACACAATGGCAATACTTAGAGCCATTGCTCTTAGCACACCACTGCACGGCGCCGTTTCAGACTACTAGTTAAAGCTTCAGCGTAATCTGTGCTCCCTAATTATCATGCCTGTTAGTGCATAAATGTCACACCGGTTACTAAAAGCTTTTCACAGTGCAAGTTCAAGGGCATCCCATTAGTCGTGATACTGGCGGACAATTGGCTACAGAATTGTCTAATCATGTAAGTAATGTAATGTGCAGACATATACCTGTTACTAGTTTAGTAGATGTTTTGATGTTGGCTTACCGAGAGGGGAAACTCCCCCAGATTGTCCCGCGGCGGCCAGACCCACCACCGTCATCTTCCCGACACTTCCAATTCTTGTGTCGCAAGAATCCATCCAGCACTCATCTTTCCTTCCGAAAAAGTAAGGGAATATCCATGGACAACAACAATAATATCCATGCTCCTACAGTCGCCTCCGGGCCTACGTCCGGAGAGGCTCCTGCTCGCGATCTGTCCAAGCTCGGTGTAGTCGATCTCATGCAAGAGAAAGAACGCATCGAAGCGGAACTCTCAGCTCTTAGCAGCGTGCTCAGCTCTGTAAGCACCATCGCATACCCCCTCTGTTCCCTCTTGCCTATAACCCGGTCACTAATCTACTCATGCATTATGCAGCACGGCGTTCACATGAATACCTCTTTGACGACGTTCGATGGCTACCCCCGAGACGACATAGATGTCGCCCAAAGTCAGTCTCGATCGCTTTGTCTACAGTCCTCATGCTAAGTAAGCTTTTCGATAGTACGTACCACCCGAGCGCGCATCATCAGACTACGAACGGATCATAAGGAAGTCATGTCGCTTCTCGAGAAGGGGATACATGATCATTTCGCGAGCCTGCAGCGTGCGCAGGCTACTGCGCCATCCGGAGGCAACACCAACAACACGCAAGCTGCACCGGCCAGTGCAGCCGCCAGTGACGCTGCAGGGAACGAAGCCGCCGGAGTTCCTTTTGCGAAAGTCAACAGTGTGGTCCCTGGAAGCCCTGCAGACCAAGCCGGTCTCAAGGCTGGCGATACTGTACGGAACTTTGGAAATGTGAACTGGTTAAACCACGAACGCTTGTCGAAAGTTGCTCAGGTTGTCCAGCAAAACGAGGGGGTACGTTTCTCGTTCTGTGTCTCTTGTATCCGCCGCTGCTGTGACTAACCTGAAATTAGCGCCCCGTAGCGGTTATCGTCACCAGAAAGGATACAAACTCGGCCAACAACCTTGAGCTCAACCTGGCGCTCACTCCTCGCCGTGATTGGGGTGGCCGTGGTCTGCTAGGTTGTCATCTAGTTCCTCTATGATAGGAGCGAGTTTATCATGAGTATCGGCATTACCATGCATGATTTATTTCGTCCCCTTCATGATGCATGTGGTATGGTTTCATGACTTTCCTTTCTGTGTTTGAGCAATTTCAAAGGTGCATCTATGGTGGCGTTTCAATCGATCTTCTTGAAGAGAGAACGGATTATGATGATTAAGTTAATGCAATACTCCTTCTCGACGTTGCCACATTGAGCAATGGCCTTCTCATGAATAGAATGAACCAGACGAGTTCAACATGGCCCTATCTTGATAGTTTCCATTGAGTCTCTGGGTTTAGCGTTCGATCTACCGAACTTCGAGGGGAAGAAATGTGTGCATCGTGATAGAAGCGAGCTAGGAAGGGAGGTGGAAAGTGCACTCGGCAACTTTGCATCCAGTGGATGGAAACTTTGAAGTTCCGAGGATTGGCAACGGAAGCTATACAGAACGGCATGTTGGGAGCATATGTACTGCTGAAACTTTGCATCCACAGGATGCAAACCTTGGAGTTCTGATGATTGATAGAGGAAGCAATACAGAACGGCTGTGTTGGTAGTAGTGTTTATTCTGCTGGGACTTTGCATCCACTGGATGCAAACTTTGGAATTCTGAAGATTGAGAGGGGATGCAATACAGAACGGCTATGTTGGTAGTATTTGTACTGTTGGAACTCTACATCCACTGGATGCAAACTTGAAGTTCCGATTAATGAACAGAACAGCTATTTTGGGAGCATTCGTAATACTGGAACTTTCCATACAGTGGATGGAAACTTTTGAAGTTCGGCGGATGGAGAAATGAAGCAATATCAAAATGGTTATGTTGGTGGTATCCGTACTGCTGTGCGTAGTGAACAGGTTACTGTCGTCTGACCGCCTATCTGATTGACTTACGTATACTACAAGTATGCCATGCTTGCATCTGACTATGCTTTCGAATCGATTGGGCTTTGGCGGTGGGCGTAGAAATCGAAAGAACGGCGGGGCATGGCGGCCTGAGGCGGCGAAAAGGCACGTGAGTGGAGGCTTTGGTGACCGACTCGCGGCAACGGCAAAATTTCCATCACTGGGAGAAGAAACCATCCCACCCACTCATCTCTTCTTGTTCCTCCTCCACTCCCGTTCTGTCGAACGTCTTTTCCAACTTTCCTCCTCCATCAGCTGTCGCATCGGCTCGACGACTTCTTGATTTTCGCCCTCATTTTGCCTCTACTTTGCTAAATCTCTCACATACCCTTCACCATGGCTGACCAGCAAGTACCAACCTTCAAGCTCGTCCTTGTCGGTGATGGTGGTACCGGAAAGGCAAGTATCATCTAATACCCCTCCTGCATTTCTTCTGCTTTCTTGTGATGTGATATATCGAATCTTTGTTTCCCTTTTGGGCCCCTGTGAAATAATGCAGTTGTGCTACGGTGCCTTGTTTATCTCTGTGTTCCGGCCAACCTCATCCTCAACCACCGACAGAAAAACTTGATTTCCTATCAGCCCGATGATGCGAGACGCCCATAGCTAACCGTCAACACTCTCTAGACCACCTTCGTCAAGCGCCACTTGACTGGCGAGTTCGAGAAGAAGTACATCGCGACTCTCGGTGTCGAAGTGCACCCTCTCCAATTCCACACCGTATGCCCCGCCAGCCAACCCCGCTTTGACCGGGTCTCGCCGTCTTTGTTCGGTATCTAGGACTAACCTCTTGTGAACAGAACTTGGGACACATCCAGTTCGACGTATGGGACACCGCTGGTCAGGAGAAGTTCGGTGGTCTCCGCGACGGTTACTACATCAACGGACAGTGCGGTATCATCATGTTCGATGTTACCTCCCGTATCACCTACAAGAACGTCCCCAACTGGCACCGTAAGTGCTCCCCCCAACCCGGGCGCCTTCTATCTCAATGCCATGACTGACACGATCCCAGGTGATCTCGTCCGTGTCTGCGAGGGTATCCCCATCGTTCTCTGCGGTAACAAGGTCGATGTCAAGGAGCGCAAGGTCAAGGCCAAGACCATCACCTTCCACCGCAAGAAGAACCTCCAGTACTACGACATCTCCGCCAAGTCCAACTACAACTTCGAGAAGCCCTTCCTCTGGCTCGCTCGCAAGTTGGTCGGCAACCCCCAGCTGGTGAGTCTATACTTCACACTCCGGTTGACGGTTCCCAACGGCGTGCGTACTAATGATTTACCAGGAATTCGTCGCCGCTCCCGCCCTCGCTCCCCCCGAGGTCGCTGTCAACCCCGATCTCATGAAGCAGTACCAGGACGAGATGGAGGCGGCCTCTGCCATGCCCCTTCCCGATGAGGATGACGCCGACTTGTAAGCGTGCGGTCCATGATAAGGCTCCGGGGCTCTCCCCGGTAGATTTATCCTCATGGCTGTCGTGCTCACTCCCCGGGCACTGTCCGGGGTGCGGTGCGGTACCGTTTGCGAAATCTGGGAATCACGAATACCACGATCGATCAGCAGTCAGGAGGCGGAGCAAAATTGGGCCGCGAGGAAGACAGGGTCGGAGCATGATTATGCATTTGCAATATTTACCACTAGTAGTCTAGACTCCTTATTATCTCTTTCAACACACAGTTCAAGTTTAACCTCTTTGCCACGGATGACGGACCTGCAGCAGCGAGAGAGCCAAACCAAAAGCTTTTTAAATACGCGAAGTCGCACATAATAGGTACAAAAGTATGACTGGATTTTTCTTCTTGGGCTTTGAGGGGGTATGTTCGAGTAGCGAACAACAAACAAACAAATAAATAAACACTCGTCTTCAGAACTTCTGATGGGTTGGTTGTAAATGAGGGCATTCACGGGTATAGACCATATCCACATGCAAGCTATATACTCGGAGATTTTTGCGAATATATCTTCCGACCCGCGCTGCGCTCTCGGACCAGCAATTATCTCGCATCCCAATACCACAACCTATACCCAAACACGACAATCATCCACGAACGAACCCACGCAATCCACCAGGCCTACCGTAGTCACCCAACATAGACCATCTCCCGCACAAGAAGGGACCATCAACGAAAAGAGTGACGGTGACGTCACCGACACCCAGAGGCTGGGATATCTTAGCAGTTGGGTTGAAGATTGAGACCCAACGACGACGGGGGAGGTAACCTTCGCTGGGGCCGGGCTAAGATGAGTGATGACCTTTTACCTTTTACCATTTACCTTTTTCCTTTTACCCCTCAGCCAGCCCTCTACTATTTATCCAGCCGAGGAAGCAAAGCAGCCAGCAGCCAGCAGCCAACACCGGGCGGGCCATTGGCGAATGAACGCCTCCCCCTCGCCATGTTGGTCGAACGTCACATTGACCTACCTACCTTACCACATCCCCCCCCCAACCCAACCTTGAAAACATAGCATAGCGCCCTACACAGTAACCGTAACCAGCACGACTCTACAATACACTATCCATCTACATCTGCTGAACACAACCACAACCACAACCACAACCACAGACACAGCCCCAACCGACCGACCATTGATTGACCATCCCTTTACCTAGGGTAGGTAGTGGGTAGTAAAAAAATCGCAAACAAAATGACAAGGATGGGATTCGAACCCATGCTCTTTCGAACTAGTGGGTTTCCACCTCCACAAGGAAGGGAATTCCTAAAACTAGCGCCTTAGACCACTCGGCCACCTTGCCTTTGCGTTAAAAATTGTTGGGCCGGGTTGTGACTATCACATCGGCAATACGCTGGGGTGTGATTTGCCCCGGGGGGGGGGAGGTGCTTTGTTTTGGGGGTGGAAGGTGGAGTGTAGTGTATGTACCTAGTACTTAGTGAAAGGGGGGTTGGGGGCTTTTAGGGTGGCGAGATGGAGGAGTTGCTCTGGGACATAACATATAACATGCCTTGTATGGTTGTTTATGCACTGCTGGGATGAGGGATGAGGGGGAGAGAGGTTAATTCGGATATTCGAGATTCAGTGATTTTACTTTCTGTAGGAGTGAGATGCTACATCGGTCTGGGGGTGGATTGAATTGAAAGACTCATCGAGCATGTCTTGGCCAGAGCATGCATGGTATGGTAGTGCTGCTAGTCAGCCAAACGCAAGAACATACCAAGATCTACGAGTTTGTGCTACAGTCCAACCCCCCTCAAACACCGAGATCGAAAGAGGCGCAAGAAAGCAACATTCATTTGCCTATTGCTCTAAGCTAAGTTCCTGCATGTATTGTATGGCCTTCATTCAACTAAATCACCAACCTTGATGCAGTGCGATCTAGATGCAGACTTTCCAACCCGTGTATATGAATCATGTCGTCAGGAGAGCGCGGCGCCAAATTAAAAACATTAAAGCAGCACGCGAAAAACACACGAGAAACCCAGGGTATCATTATGGTACTGATTGCGCCGGAAAAACGTCAATGCCTGCAATCATGACTGAACGACAAGACAGTGTCTGCCACATTAATGGATATTCTAAACAAAGTCCGTTAGTATGAGCGCGCCCTTGGGATATACGGTGGTGAACTTACGAATAGATGGCGCAATTGTCGGGTATCCAATCGGGAAACATTCTTCGAGGCCTTCTCATCCAACGCTCCCTCAACAAGCTCGCGCTTCTGATCCTGAAGCTCAAGGATTCGGTCCTCAACCGTGCCCTTCACCACGATGCGATGGATCTGCACCGGGCGTGTTTGTCCAATACGATGAGCACGGTCGACAGCCTGCTCCTCCACGTAAGGATTCCAGAAAGGATCGAAGATGATCACTTGCGAGGCGGCGACAAGGTTCAAACCGGAGTTACCAGCTTTGAGGGATACCAGCATGATCTTGCAGTCGGGATTGTCGGTGAATTCTATGACAGACGCGTTTCTCTCCGCCGGTTTCATACTGCCGTCGTAGCGCCGATAGTCCCAGCCCTCACGCGCAATGGGAATCTCAAGCAGGTCAAGCAGAGATGTGAACTGACTGAAAATGATGGTCTTTTCGCTGCTGTCATTGCTGCTGATGCCTCGGAGGATTTCCATCGTCTTCTCGATCTTGGCGCTCGGGATCCAGGTCTTTTCGAGACGGCGCAGATACTTGCGCTTAGCCTTTTGGTTCTTCTGGGCGTCTTTGCGGAGCTGGGCAAGGGTCTTGGTCTTCTGTGGCTTCTTGCCCTTCGATCTGCGTGTCCTGGATCCACCGTAGTCCTCATCGTCATCAGCGATGAACCGAGACAGGCTATCGTCATCACTATCGTCATCACTATCATCATCACTGTCATCCCCACTCGCCGCCCCATCTGTTGGCTGAGGAACCTCCTCATCTCCTTCCGTGGAATCTGGGCAGTGCACCTTCTTGAACGAAATGTGATCCGTAATCTTCTTGGGGTCAACTTTACCGCGGCAGTTGGGGCATTTGATCTCATTGGCGCCATCCACTCCGTTTCTGACGGCAACTGCAGGGTCTGAGATTCTTGAGAAACATTCGGCACAAGTTCCATGACCGCACGGAAAGAAAATCACCGGATTCTCAACAGCATCAATACAGATTGGGCATTCGAGGTCGTCATTGTTCTTCAAGCGAGTAACAACCTCATCGCTAAGAGCTTTAGCATTTGCGACAAGGTCCAACTCATCTGATGTCACAGGAGTTTCAATGCTGAAATCTTTGATCAAATGCGGGTGACAACACGCCTGTCGGAGTCGGAGGAGCAACACAAGGATGCTGGAGTAATTGCGCCCCATGGTGCCCTCTTCAATGTACCGGTTGACCTGAAGTTGAGTGCGGGTTTCGAGGGCTTTGTAGAACTCATCCTCTTCCTCGCTGAAGACAGCATGCACCCTCTCGGACACCTTAGGCGGTAGCTGGAGGATGGGCTTACCGTCAATCTTGGAAGTCTTGGTGCGCCGTAGAAGAACGGCTTTGAGTAGAACCTGTAGTGCCTGCATTGTCTTCTCGCGGCCAGCGGGACTACCCTTCAGGGGATTCGTGAAAGTCTTGGAGATCAAAGTCAGTCGTCGGTCATCAGCAGAAGAAGCAATACGAGTCACACTCACGCGTTGGAATTTCTCATGGTTGGAATATGGCGCGATCCGCAGAAACTTTAAAAGCGACTGCAGTTCATCCACTGAATTCATCATCGGGGTACCGGTCATGCACCACCGATACGTGGATTGAAGATTGCAGCACGCCATGGCAGATTTCGTTTTCCTGTTCTTGATACACTGAGCTTCGTCGATAATGACCCGATACCATTTGGCGAGGGGACTCAGACATGGTAAGTTCTTCATGAGGCCCATGCCCAGATCTGAGTCATGTTTCTTGATCTCCTCGGCCTTCTCTAGCTTCTTGAACTCGGCTGCCAAAGTACCGAAAGTAGTAAGGACCACATCGTACTTCTTCAGATCTTTGAAAGTCGGATTCCGCTTGTCGCCGTGTAGGACATGAATCGAAAGCTGATGCTTTTCAGGCCTGAGAATCCTCTGTATCTCTCTCTTCCACTGATTCATCAGTGCAACAGGAGCGATAACCAGCGTAGACTTGCGCTCAGGGTCCGTGGAAGGCCGTGACACCATAAGAGCAATGGCTTGAATGGTCTTTCCAAGGCCCATGTCGTCAGCAAGAATTCCACCTTTCTTTTCCCCTTCCTCCATCGACTTCATCCACGCGAGACCGAGTTTCTGATGTTCCAGGAGTGTGAATCTGAGCGCCTCGGGGGTCCCTTCGCGATTTTCCTTGGAAATCTCAGAGTCGGGTCTGATAGACTCTAGGAGCTTCATGATGTCCTCTTTAGTCTGCTTTGGATCCTCTGCATACCCGTAGAGATCACTGCGCACGGTCTTGATTAGCAAAGCTCCTTCAAAGTCAATGGAATGTGCTCACTTCATGTAATCCAGAGCTGAATCGTAGCCGCCAGGACCCATAAACGAGAAATCCGACGAACCGAATATGATTCGGCTTGCCTGAGATACGGTGCTTGACATATCACCGAGCATACTAGAGCCGGAGTTCAGTCGTGCCATGGTACTGGGCAGGACTCTTGGCCCGAATCGAGAACTTGGTGGACCCAAGCCGCTGGGACCGGCTGCGGGTCCATTCAGATAGGGAGAGTAGGCGCTTCGAGAATCATTTGAACTACTCGAAACCATCTTGCCATTGATCCATGTTTCAGAACGAATGTTGAAGCGGTCATTGGATACCTGGCGACCCTTTCTTGGTGAGGGCGGGGGACGGAGAAGATTGGGTTTGAAATCCTGGCCGTCGATTTCGGCGATGTCGCTATCATCGCTGTCCGGTAGCGTGACAACTTTCGACTCTCGATAGCCATCATAGTGAGGCGCAGCAGCTGGCAGGCGCTTTGAAGGCTGAGGTCCCTCGGGAAAGCTGCCTGGAATGAGCAATGCAGAGGTCCCGTTATGCCCAGGCCTGTTATGAGCTGGAGCTGTGACAAATGGCCTAGGAACAGTAGGAGGCGAGGGGCCCCGAGCCCGCGCCGAGTGCGGCGTGATACTGTCGTTTTGCGCAAGCCGGCGCGCCAATTCTGCGTCGCGACGTTCCTGTTCCTTTTGCGCCTTGAGCCACTGCTCTGCTCGTCGATTCTCTTCCTGCATTGCACGGAAGCTGTCCAGACCTAGCATCCTGAGCAGCTCGTCATTGCCATCGTCCAGCCCCTCAAGGGATTCGAGCAGCCCCTCAAGGGATTCGTCCTCCGCCGAGCGACGACTGGGAATAGAGTCAGGGCTCAGGCGGCGACGAACCCGTTTCCGCTGCTCTCGCCTGATTGGCGCCTCCAGGTCATCCGAGTCATCATCGTCTTCATCCTCCATGGAAGATGTGGACAGTTGACGTTTGCGACTGGCTCGATTGAAAGGGGAGGTGGGGAAAGAGCGGGGAGAACGTCCAACACTGTGCGAAGAGGACGTAGGATTGTCAAGAGGGAAGGCTGGGACGCCGTCAAAATAAGTTCTTGACCTACTAGAGCTCCGCGTGGGGGACGGAGATAAATTGGCTGTTCTGCCAACAGGCTCCCCGCGTAGCACCGCCAGTCGCGTCTGTAGGCCCTCAATGACATCTAGGATCTCTAGTCTGTCTTGCTCTGCGTCGGGGCATTCTTCTTCCAAACTTTGCAGGATGACATGTTGAAGCTCAAGATCTTCTAGGACCTCCCGGATCGCCTCATCGTTGTTGCGTGAAGCCATGGTTGCTGGTTCTGGCGAAAGCCGACACGGCACACGCGCGGGCAGGGCCGGTCGAGACCACGACCGACCAAAGGCGGGCGAAACTGCTAGCAGCTGAACAACTTGGAGAGTGCTTGATGCTGAGACAGAGATAGAAGCAGAAGACGAGGGTATTCCAGATAGCACAAGGCAGAGAAAATACAAGTTCCAAGGGTGGTTGTGTTTAAGTAGGTAGTAAGTTAGTACAGGTTAAAGTAAGGCGGTTGGAGAAGTGGAGTGGAGAGCGTCAAAATTGTGAGGGTGAGCAACACGCCCTGCGATCAGAATGACGCCTGCCCCGCGGTGAATCTTTTTCCAGCACGGTCAATTCCGGTCCAGACAGTGAGTGACCTTGACCACAATGGATGGGGGAAGTCAAGCAGAGAGCTGAGGTGGAGATAACACGGTAGTGAATTGAATTGAGTTGACGGGGAAGGGACAATTGGCTCTCCTGGTGGCAATCTTTGGCGGGTTTTTTTTTTGTTTGCTTCCGCCTT